ACAGATATCCCCCAAAAGTCAGGACAGTACAGATATCCCCCAAATGTCAGGACAGTACAGATATCCCCAAATGTCAGGACGGTATCTAAGATAAAAAAATGTCAGAACGTACAGAATATCCCCCAAATGTCAGAACGGTACAGAATAATCCCCCAAATGTCAGGACAGTACAGATATCCCCAAAATGTCAGAAACAGTACAGATATCCCCCCCCCCAAATGTCAGGACAGTACAGATATCCCCCAAAAGTTCAGGACAGTACAGATATCCCCCAAAAGTCAGAACAGTACAGATATCCCCCAAATGACCGCTTTTTTGCAAAGTAGACAGTCCGACTTATTTCATAAGAGGCATGGCGATTTTTTGAAGTTGTAATTTTTTTGTCCAAATTTTTCGTAAATGAAAAAAAAATATATATTTTCACAATTCTTTTTTACATACTGTCACCAGTGCAGTACAGCATCATCATAAAAACTGGTGTGGGCAGTGATCAGGGACACTGACTGGTGACAGTACGAAAAAACAAAATTTATATTTTTTTTAAAATTTTTAATTTTTTTTATAATTTTTAAATTTTTTTATAATTTTTTTTCTCTTTTTTTTAAAGAATTTTTTTTCATATTGCAGTAACATAGTAACATTGAACTACTTTGGGGAAGTTATCAGTATTTTTTGTTTTTTTTTACACAATTTGATTTCTTTGCTATAAGCAAGTAATTTTAACGAATGAAATCGATTAATTTCAGGGTTTTTTTTTGCTGTGATTAGCTGTGATTGGCCACGGCTAATCACATGACACAGATGGCTGTGATTGGCCCAGCTTGTGCATGTGATCACTGTGACCATTCACAGCTAGACACACTTGTATACAATGGATGGCATGAAAGGAAGCCATCCATTGTATACAACTGTCATGTGACCTGCTATGATTGGTCACAGCAGGTCACATGGACTCGGCAATGGGTACACAACCGGTGACAGATCTCGCCACAGCGCAGCCCTGCAGGCACGGTCAAGGCGCGATCTGGGAAGGACGTCATATTGACGCCCTCACCCGGAGGGACGAGAGGTTTGCCTGGCCATCATTTTCCTATTGGCAGGGCAGGAAGTGGTTAACCACATCAGCTCTTGTACCTGTATAACCCCTTGTTGCGGGGCCATTGCTGTTTTCCCTTTTAAGACTGCATGTTGTCAGAAAGGGTTTGATTGGCTCAGCTCTCAGCAGTACTGGAGTGTTTGTGGGAGTTGCAGTTTCATTACAGAGGAAGAAAATGAATCGGATAAGGAACTTCTGGATGAAAATGCCTCTCAACCTGAAGGAGGATTTTTCTAAGGAAAGCCACCTTGGACCTGATGAAGAACCCTGTGAAGAGACGCACCTTGAACCCAAAGAACAGAGAGTTTTAGAGAACAGTGAGACCCCCACTCAGAATAATAAATGACACCCCTGGAACCAGCTCAGAAGAAACCCCTATTTCTCCAGAAGAAGAGAGAATTGAGTCCCCTCAACCTGTACTACAACCTGAAGATGATTCTTCAGATAAAGATCCCTTATGGCTTCTAGAATCAAGGTCTAAGCCAGTGGTGGGCAACCTTTTTTTTCAACTGAGCCAAATCTCGCCAAAACCATGATTGAAATTTATTTTGAGAGCCACATTTTTAAAACTGAAAATACATCTCCCATATAGTAATTCATCCCCCATAGTAATTCATCCCCCATATAGTAATTCATCCCCCATAGTGTAATTCATCCCCCATAGTAATTCATCCCCCATAGTAATTCATCCCCCATATAGTAATTCATCCCCCATATAGTAATTCATCCTCCATATAGTAATTCATCCCCCATAGTAATTCATCCCCCATATAGTAATTCATCCCCCATAGCAATTCATCCCCCGTATAGTATTTCATCCCTCGTATAGTATTTCATCCCCCGTATAGTATTTCATCCCCCGTATAGTATTTCATCCCCCATATAGTATTTCATCCCCCATATAGTATTTCATCCCTCATATAGTATTTCATCCCCCATATAGTAATTCATCCCTCATATAGTATTTCATCCCTCATATAGTATTTCATCCCCCCATATAGTATTTCATCCCTCATATAGTATTTCATCCCCCCATATAGTATTTCATCCCTCATATAGTATTTCATCCCTCATATAGTAATTCATCCCTCATATAGTATTTCATCCCCCCATATAGTAATTCATCCCTCATATAGTATTTCATCCCCCCATATAGTATTTCATCCCCCCATATAGTATTTCATCCCTCATATAGTAATTCATCCCTCATATAGTATTTCATCCCCCCATATAGTATTTCATCCCCCCATATAGTATTTCATCCCCCCATATAGTATTTCATCCCTCATATAGTAATTCATCCCTCATATAGTATTTCATCCCTCATATAGTATTTCATCCCTCATATAGTATTTCATCCCCCATATAGTATTTCATCCCCCCATATAGTATTTCATCCCCTCATATAGTATTTCATCCCTCATATAGTATTTCATCCCCCCATATAGTATTTCATCCCTCATACAGTAATTCATCCCTCATATAGTAATTCATCCCCCATATAGTATTTCATCCCTCATATAGTATTTCATCCCCCCATATAGTATTTCATCCCTCATATAGTAATTCATCCCCCCATATAGTATTTCATCCCCCCATATAGTATTTCATCCCCCCATATAGTATTTCATCCCTCATATAGTAATTCATCCCTGATATAGTAATTCATCCCCCATATAGTATTTCATCCCCCCATATAGTATTTCATCCCTCATAAAGTAATTCATCCCTCATATAGTATTTCATCCCCCACAGTACTATTCCCCCCCCCCCCCCTTCTAGTAAGCCAAGTCCCCCGTGTCAATTCACTTACCTTTTGCGTTCCTCTCGCTGTCTTCGCCCCGCGCCGTTCGGGTCTTCAGGGCGGACTGTGAGAGGAGCCTAGCTCCCCTCCCCTCACGTTCGGCACGCTGCCCCGCCTACACACATCCTGACAGCCACATCCGCAAGCCGGATTAAAAGGTCCGCGCGGACTTTTGGGGCTGCCAACCGAGAGGAGGCAGGGGAGCGGCCGACCGAGAGGAGGGAGGGGAGCAGGCGCCCGGCACACAGAAGAGCCGCATTAGACTGGGTAAAGAGCCGCATGTGGCTCGCGAGCCGCGGCTTGCCGACCACTGGTCTAAGCTACCGGTGCGACCTCCTCAGAGACTCACGACTTATCTGGTATTAGCACAGAAGAAGCTGTAACTACTGTGCGAAGATCACCTGAGGTGTCCACCCTGTCCATAGACATATCAAGGGACTTGAGTCCTCCCCAGGCCATCAGCACACCTTGGTGGAATTTCCCCCTACCCACCTCATTTGTTAAGAGGTGGTGCAAATTGAGTCTACCATCTCAAAGAAAGGGTGTATAATTTGAAATGTCATGTGATTTTTTGCAAAACTGTTGAAATTTGTATATACAGAGTTATCCTTTGGGAGGACCAAAAGATTTAAGTGGGGGGAGAGTATAGCGGGGCCATTGCTGTTTCCTTTTAAAGAACTGTTTCCCTTTTAAGACTGCGGGTGTCAGAGTGGGTTTTGAATGGCTCAACTCTCAGCAGTACTGGAGTGTTTGTGGGAGTTGCAGTTTCATCACAGAGGCAGACAATGTAACTTTATACTGCACAGGACTACAGGACCAGGATGCTTTGCAAGAAGGAAGGGGTGAGTGAGCCACGTGTGCCTTGGCAGAGGACATGTGGGAGCTGGTCTGCAGCCCCTACTGTTGAAGTACACTGACACTGTTTCCAGAACAGCAGAGGTTGCTAAGGACATTTATCTACAGCAGCTGAAGTCAGCAGCAACTGTGATCATTGGTACAAGTCACCCGCGACAGCAGTTACTGACAGCAACGACATCTCCCACCACAAAGAGAGGTCAGAGTGTTGGAAATCGCAGAGGAGGCACGTGACCATCCCAGGTGAGGCACCTCAGAGGTTGTGCAGCACCGACAATTGACAACAGAAAAAAACTAGCAGAGAGACAGAGCCCCAGTCTTCATCCCTTCAAGGAATTAACCCCTGGAGACTGTTCTTCGTGGATGTGGTGAGCAACTGCTAACCAGTGACATGTCAGTCCTTAAGAGCGCTCCACCGATTCATTAACACAGGCCTGTGCAACACATAGACTCACACAGTGTTACAGTCCTAGAGCATACAAGTGAATTTGGGACTGAGCCTCCTTCGGGGGGTGAGCTCTACACCCTTATGGACCACCGCAATTTTTACATTTCCACCACGGGCCGATTTTATATATTTGGCTATAACTTTGTCATTTTTTGAGATGACAAAAGAAGTCCATACGTTGTTTTCTGGGGACAAACTAGGCTTTCTTGTGGTAATTGGAGGTGCGTTACTGGCCAGATCACCAGGTAAAAAACAGGTGGGGGGAAAAAGCATAAAAAAAAGAAAAACAAATGCAGCCACCACCTCAATTTTTTGATATCGTACATTTTTTGGCTTTGGCTTTATTATTATTATTATTATTATTTATACAGGATTTATATAGCGTCAACAGTTTGCTCAACGCTTTACAATATAACGGGAGACAATACAGCAACAATACAAGAGGGATAGGAGGGCCCTGCTCCTTGGAGCTTACAATCTAGGATCTTTAGTTGCACGCTAACAAGTTATTCATTGGATCTAGAAGTTGAAAAAAGAAAAAAAAAAAAAGCTGAAACTTGTTTACACTAGAAGTTAGTAAGCCCGAACTACAATGCATGCTGAAGTTCATATTTCCATATCATTGATGAATAAATGGCATTTAACTGCTTCCCAACCGCCCTATAGCAAAACTTCTACAGGGTGGCAGGGCTGCACAAAATCAAGTTTATATACACGTGACTTTTGCATTTTTCCGGGCAAGGGGCACGTGCGCCGCCCTGGACGGCTACAGCTGTCGATCAATTTATTATCACTTTTTTTTTTCACATACAATGCAAAATTTTCATTTTTGCTAGGAAATTTGTCGTATGTGGTCGGCCTTCTGGAAGATGTTTCCTCAGGCTCAGGGGCGGACTGACAACTCATGGGGCCCCCGGACAATAGGGGATCATGGGGCCCCTGTGTCCTTTCCCACCCTCAAACCACTCCCAAAAAAAGCCTATGAAAGGTATGAGGGGCATCTCATGGGGCCCCCTACTGACCCCGGGCTCTCAGGCAGTGCCCGAGTTTCCGAATGGTCAGTCCGCCTCTGCTCAGGATACAAGGACACTCAATCCTGTGTCCATCACTATGAGTGCAGGCCAGGGAAGAAGCTCCGCTCCAAGCAAAGGATGGATCCCATGAAGGCCCAGCGGGAGCCCTGGCTGAGACTGCCATTCATTCCAATACCTGCGGGTCTTCATAGACATACGGCTTCATGGGATCCATCCTTTGCTTTCCAGCCAAACACCTAACGCCCTATGTGGTCTCCTTAGGGCCTCCTGTCTTTTTTTTCTTGGAGAGTTGTTTTTAGGCTGTTAGTACTTGATTCATTTATATACGTTCCTAATTCTATCTTTTATTACACCTCTCATATAGGCTCCATCGCTCTCCGAAGAATTTTATGATGGACCGAGAGGGCTTAGAGCTCACAAAGAAGAAAACATGCAAAACGAGTATACAACATAACAACGGACACAGAAATATTGTCAGTAAATACACAGAGCATAGAGACTCATTTACATTGCAAAGGAGGCGAACACAGAGTACCATAAGATCTTCACAGCGAGGAAAGGAAACAGTGCCGCGCTAAAAACCAAAAAAAGCTTAAAACGACATAAATGAAAAGTAAATAATAAATTTGGCTAAATACGTGATATGCAGTATAAAATATAGATAATAATCAAGTGACAGCACGACGTTGCTTCACGTACAGGCTGCCGACGTCACGTACATTTCAGCATGAAGAAAGGAAATAGTGCTGCGCTAAAAACCAAAAAAAGCTTAAAATGACATAAATGAAAAGTAAATAATAAAATTTGGCTAAATACGCGATACACGGTATAAAATAAAGATAATAATCAAGTGACAAGCACAATGTTGCTTCACGTACAGGCTGCCGACGACATGCACATTTGAGCGTAAAGAAAGGAAAAATAGTGCTGCGCTTGTGAGGATCGCGGCGTCATTCTCACCAAACTCGTGACCGAAGCACTAGCCAGTCTGAAAACCGCGATGTCACGTGCGTAACAATACCACGCCCAGCTGCACCCTGCACGATTTTTCAGCTAATGGACCACAAATCGATGTACCGGCAGCCTGGGAGCGATTGTTAGGTTAATTATGCAATTAATCCTTCACACTGCCACCACCTCCTTATTGTACAGAGAAAGAGGGAAACTCCGCGATATCAGCTATAACACTATAAACGATTGAGATAATTGTCTGTATAGCACGGTCACCGCAGACAGGTTATACAGAGGGTTAAACAAAAAACAGTAGCGCTCTTTTAGAGGCAGGATTCGTAAATTGCATTAACGAGCTTTAGAAACAGTTCAACACTTTCAGAAAGAAAGATTTATTACTAAAAGGTCAAAAGGGTGCAATAAAAATATTTACAGAAAAAAGATGTAACCAATATACAGAGACATGTTGTTCTCTGTATATATATATATACAGAGAACAACAGCACAGCAAAGGGGTAACAGAAAGGAGGTTAAAAGGTCAAAGTACTTGCCAATCAGCCTTGGGTTTGCAGATCAAGTTTCAAAGCAAAAGGGTATGTCTCCCAGGTTCGTTCTGATGTTAAAAGAGAGAATTCTTCAACTTCCCTTTCTTAGGCCTGACAGCCCATTTTGTAGTTTCCCAGCAGGGGGTGTCTCTGAAGTCAAGGACCAATGCCCCGTTTAGGGAGGGATCCTCTGGGCGGATACCTAAACTAGAGCCAAAATCTCTCATAGTTCATATTTTGCTCATAACTTTCCCTATGCACAAGTGACATTCCATCCGCGGGTAGATTATTATGCAGACACATCTGAGTAACGGTTACATATGAAATATGAAATGCATATTTGAAGGGTTCAAGAGATGTAATTTTCTGCTGTCCTAGGTATTCCAGTCAGGGAGTGTGACCTATCAAACTCTTTGTCTTCTCGTGGCCAATATGAAGATATACCTGGTATTTAAGTCTCCCATATTCCAAGATATGATACATAGGGGAAAAATGAATTTTAAAAGTGTTAGCTAGTCTCTACTCCTCTGGAATGTCTTTGAACTCAGGGGAAGGCTTGGTTATCTTTACGATGTGCTAGATTGCACAGGTTCTTTGGACAGCAAGGCCCCAGCTCCCTTGGGGGTTTTATAGCTCGTAGCCCCCTGCTGTGCTCTGTCCTCCTGTGACACTGCCAACACACACAGGCCGTATGTCACTGTGGCTGAACAGAGAGGAAAGAATGAGACTGAGGGGGATATGTTTGTACAAGATGGAGGATCCTTTGCCAAAATGGAGATTGGAGCCAAAATAGTTGAACCGCGTCCATCTCTGTGGTCATGATTGCTACAGTGCTAAAAACCAAAAAAGCTGAAAACGACATCAATGAAAAATAAATAATAAATTCGGCTAAATACGTGATACGCGGTATAAAATCTAGATAATAATCGAGTGACAGCACAACGGGTGATTCACATACAGGCTGCCGGCGACGTGTACATTTGAGCATAAAGAAAGGAAATAGTGCTGCGCTAAAAACCAAAAAAAGCTTAAAACAATATAAATTAAAAATAAATAATACATTTGGCTAAATACATGATACACGGTATAAAATAAAGATAGTGTCCTTAAGAAAGAAAATGGAAATATATAATATGTAAAGTGCACACACACACACTATAACAACTGGTGTAAATGAGGTCTACAAAACAACTCCCTGGCACGGGGTATAATACCGTAATGGACCAATAAAATATACAATATACAGAAAAAGCACAGTAAGTCATATATAAATATTGTGAAATTAATTGACATGAATAAAATATAACGTGACAGTCCATATAAAGTGAATAACAAAAAGGTATATAATTCTGTGAATCTTCTCCTTTAACCACTTCAATACCGGGCACTTTTACCCTCTTCCTGTCCAGGCCCAATTTTCAGGTTTCAGCGCTCTCACACTTTGAATGACATTTGCACGGTCATGCAACACTGTACCCATATGAAATTTTTACCATTTTGTTCACACAACTAGAGCTTTCTTTTTGTTGGTATTTAATCACCGCTGGGGTTTTTTATTCTTTGTTAAATTAACAAAAAAAGACCGAAAATTTTAATACCCCCATGTTTTTGTTTGTTTCTGTAAATGTTTGCAAATAAATAATTGTTCTTCATAAATTTAGGCCAAGATGTATTCTACTACATTTCTTTAGTGAAAATAACCCAAATCAGTATTTATTATTTAGTCTGTAGGAAAGTTAGAGTTCACAAACTATGGGATATATCTGAATATTGATCAATCCTGAAGTATATTTTTCACATATTTTGTAATAAAAACGCATTTCAGCATACAGTATATATATATATGTATGTATGTATATATATATATATATATATGTCAATATATTTGGGAAGAATATTTTTAAAATATATTTCTTCCATATGGGAAAGGGCGCACACCCTAAACGAGTAAAGAAGTAGCATGAAAGGGTTAAGAAGGGGAAGAAAATAAAAAAAGGAAGTATATAAGGGTGGGGAGTGGGGGATGTTTGGGTGTTTGGGGGAAGAGTGACTAAAGGAGTCAAAGAAAGACCTAAATACCTAAGAAGGTATATTTTTTTTACTGTTCCAAGTCCAGCAGATCCCATATGGAAGAGAAATATATTTTCAACATATTTAGAAAAAAATATATACATGCAACATATATTTACAATCTATTGGCCTACATGAATATATTTTAACATGTATTCCAAAAATGTACATTAAAATATATTTTCCAAAGGCTTACATTTAAAAATATATTTTTTAAAATATTTTTTCCAGATATTTTTCAGCATCTAAAAGAATGCATTTAAACATAGATTTTTAAATATACTTGTAAATGCATTCCAAAATACAGTTTGAAATATATTTCAGCCTGTGTTCTGAATATATCTTTAATAATATATTCACAAATATAGTGAAATATATTTTTGAAATATATTGAATATGGCCAAAATTGTAGTATTTGAAATATATGTCAATATAGTTGGGAAGAATATATTAAGAATGTATTTTTTTTAATATATATTTAAAATATACTTTTCTTCCATGTGGGATGTTTGTGGGGAGGTACAGCGTGGTGCAGCGGTTGTTAACACTCAGAGTCCGGTTGCAGGAAAACTCAAAACTTGTATTGAACAGAATACCTACCTTAGGAACCTGAGCAGGAGAACGCCGCCTAGGGAAACAACTCACAGTTCAATGCAGTCAAAGACGTCTTTGAAGGAGAGGTGCTGACGGCATGGGTACCGGAGGTTGAAGCGTGGCCTGGATGGTCCAGTCCCAAAACAGGGAAGCTTCTTTCCAGGTAAGGAGTTTCTAGCATGTCCCAACTCACCAGGAACCTCACCCTACCATCAATGGCTTTCTTTAACAAGCAGAGTTTCTCTTCCCTACACTAGACACTGCTTGTCTTGCCAAAAACCTTTTGTATTGACGCTTTATACCCAACAGGGGCAAGGGCCCTTGTTCTCATACTCGCATAAAAACCTGGGGGCAAGAGACCCTGCTGACTCAAGAAGGTCACCAAGGGTCACATGACTGCAGCATAGCCAACTGGAATGCTGCTCCATTGACCTAGAAAATCGGTGTTTCACCTTGACTTCCACTCCAGGCTGTAGTACTGCTCAGATGGAGTACCACCCACAGTGGTGAAAACAGATTGCACCTGCCTACATCCCAGTCAGAATCTACCAGTAAAATGTGTAAAATCCATGGTTCCCAAGTTTTCATACATTTTGGCATAGTGTCAAGGAGTTTTCGTTGGCGGTTTCTCCTTTGAGAAGGTCCAGTGAATCCTATTTTTTTTGATGCATGATGCCCGGTGGCCAGGCTTTTTGCTACCAGAGGATGCAATCACCATGCAGGTACTCTTGGTTGCATTACTCCTACTGCTTGTCTTGCCAAATAGACCTTTTGTATTGACTTTGCTTTATACCGAACAGGTGCTTTACTGGCCCTTGTTCTTTCAGACTCAAGAAACCATCATGCACCCCTTTAGAGTAA